ATATATGTGTGTGTATATATGTATATATATATATGTGTGTATGTATATATATATGCATATATATATGTGTATATATATGTGTGTATATATATGTATATATAACCACCCGTTACAACCAAGGTGGGCAGAAGAGCATCTCTGAACGCACAGTACGTCGAACTTTGAGGCAGATGGGCTACAGCAGCAGAAGACCACACCGGGTGCCACTCCTTTCAGCTAAGAACAGGAAACTGAGGCTACAATTTGCACAAGCTCATCTAAATTGGACAATAGAAGATTGGAAAAACGTTGCCTGGTCTGATGAGTCTCGATTTCTGCTGCGACATTCGGATGGTAGGGTCAGAATTTGGCGTCTACAACATGAAAGCATGGATCCATCCTGCCTTGTATCAACGGTTCAGGCTGGTGGTGGTGGTGTCATGGTGTGGGGAATATTTTCTTGGCACTCTTTGGGCCCCTTGGTACCAATTGAGCATCGTTGCAACGCCACAGCCTACCTGAGTATTGCTGCTGACCATGTCCATCCCTTTATGACCACAATGTACCCAACTTCTGATGGCTACTTTCAGCAGGATAATGCGCCATGTCATAAAGCTGGAATCATCTCAGACTGGTTTCTTGAACATGACAATGAGTTCACTGTACTCAAATGGCCTCCACAGTCACCAGATCTCAATCCAATAGAGCATCTTTGGGATGTGGTGGAACGGGAGATTCGCATCATGGATGTGCAGCCGACAAATCTGCAGCAACTGTGTGATGCCATCATGTCAATATGGACCAAACTCCCTGAGGAATGCTTCCAGCACCTTGTTGAATCTATGCCACGAAGAATTGAGGCAGTTCTGAAGGCAAAAGGGGTCCAACCCGTTACTAGAATGGGGTACCTAATATACTGGCCGGTGAGTGTATATGACTGTAGCCGTCATGAAGCCATGTGATTAAAATGAAAAGCCGCTGTTTTCCCTCTTCATCTGTTATAATATTATCTAACAGAAATACAATCAGTTTTCTATCTGTAGTTTAACTAGAATAGATTTTTGTGCCTCTTTTAACTTCTTGCACAAATCCATCTTTCTTGGAGTACATGGGATGTTGTGCTGTATCTACAGCAGATGCTGATAAGGAGAGACTGGATTATACATGTGTGATGACTGGCATGTTTATTCCACCCAAGGGATTCCTTTTGGATCTAATGCCGGCAGCAGGCTGTGCACAAACAATCACTGTAATATAAAAACATGTTTTTGGGGATAACATTTGTTTTTTGATCTGTTGGTTTTATGGGTCAGTCTTTAAAAAGAGGAGAGGAGCAACAATCAGAGATTCGTTGCCAGGTGTTATGATGTGTCTCAAGTTAGAAACACCATAACACCGGCTTTAAATAGATTTCAGTCCATTTAAATTCCTCTTTTAAAAAACTCATGTTCAAAATACCTCTATAGCCTTGTTACTATGGTCAGTAAGTTATACATTTATAGAAGAAACAAATGGATAATTTCTGTGAAAAAATAGCTTTTCTTTAAAAAAAAAGAAGCATAAATTAGCATAAAGTTTATAGTTATAATGCCTTTTATATCAGCGGCGTTGTGTCTTAGTTACAGACTTTTTCCTTTACTAAGATTACAGAAAGAGACCAAATGATGGAAGAAATAAATCAAAACATCTTTGCTGTGGAAAGTTTTGTCTTCCTGGCATTTTTTGGTGTAAACAAATTAATTTGTTGTTTTAACTTAAAAAACATATGCATGACTATCAGATGTCAGTTGTTCGAATGCTTTCCAAACACGCAAAAAAGTGACCCTTTGGGGAAATATTTATGGAGACATTTGAACAGATATTGGGATAAAAGACACTGAAGCATCTACAGATTTTATATCTACCCAAATGGAGGACAGCTCCCTCTTAAAGGGGATGATAATGGTCTGTTAAAAAGTCATCAGAAGCTCAGAACCGGCCGAGAAAAGGCTTTTCTCACACCGACTCAATGCAGGAACGTTATGGAGGATAAATAATAATTTAAAAAATAATAAAAACAGGCAAACTTGGAAAACAATAGAACACATTGACTCTTTTTTTACCCACTCAATAGAAAGACTTTAAGACCAATCTATTTTCCATTTGTTTGTGGCACTGCTCATGCTATATTATTTGTTTTAGCTCTCTTTTCTTTTATTTCTATTTTGATGTTTAATAGAAACACAGAAAATAAAGATTTTGAACTGAAAAAGCTTCTGAATGGAATGCTAATTATCTTCAAACTTGGAAACAAAGTCCAGTGGATTGTTTTTTAAGGTTTTTGGATTAGAAAAAAATAAAGAGTATAAAACTGGTTTTGGTGCTTTATCTGATTTCATTTCAACAATCCTAATCATATAAGAAGGATAAAATCTAAGAGTGAAATTTGAATTTTAAGAACCAAGCAAAAAGCAGGAACAACAGTGAAAAGTGTTTGCTTATCTAGCTGTGAAGTGACTGTTTGAAACAGCTGAATGAAAAACAAAACATGTTAATAACAGAATATAAAAGACATAAATTATATAGGTATATAAGGAGTATACAATTTATAGATATAATTAGTATAATTAGTATAATTAATATGATTATAATTAATAGATATAATTTTTAATCATTTATATTTCTCTTTGTTTTTCTTTTGATATAATATGCAGGGAAGTATTTACTACAATACATATATGCAGTGCAAAGACAGAGACAAATGGGTAGGAATTAGGGATGGGAATCAAAAACCGGTTCCTGTTCAGAACCGGTTCCGCATTTTCCGATTCCATGGCATCGTTTGGCAGCTCGCTGAATGATTCTTTTTTCGATTCCCGCAGCACCAGAGCCTAGGGCGCCGGCTCTGGGGAGCACGACTTACGTCACGTTTTTTACGCAACTTACGCAAGTTACGCAAGTTGGAAGAACTATTCGAGGAGGAAGACAACGAGCTGCGGTCACTTTGTGAATCAAAGCCCCGTCTTTCCTTAGCCCAGAGGGTAGATCGGGAAATCCAGCTCTATAAAAGCTTGCCCTCCATCCCCTGCAGGGATAGCGCCACACTGTGGTGGTGGAATAAGCAAGATACGCTGCCCTTGCTATCTGGACTGGCTGAAAACTACCTCTGTGTGCAGGCTTCCTCCACCCCATCTGAGAGGGTGTTCTCCACGGCTGGAGACACCATAAGCCCTGAAAGATCCCGTATCCTTCCAGAAAAAGCAGATATGCTCATCTTTCTGCAAAGAACTGTTAATTTTCCCTACTACTGTTTTATAATTAGTATTTTTTGTTATTTAAAATAGGTTATTATCCCAGCATTTGTTATTAGACATTGTTGGTTATTAAGTTTGTTCTTGTATTCATTTTTCATTTAAACACAGATGTTACTCCAGTTTCACATTTCCTGTGGACATCTTGATCTTGTTGAGTTTGTAAGATTGTGCAATAGTTAAGTAAACAAAGTTGATGCTGATAATCAAACTGTTTGTTCTCTTTTTTTGCCCAAATTGGAATCGAAAAAAGAATCGATAAAGAATCGAATCGTTTCATAGAATCGAAAAGGGAATCGGAATCGTGAAAATCTTTTCAATTCCCAACCCTAGTAGGAATCTAAAAACAGTTTACTTCTTATACTTCCTCAGGTTTAATTCAGTTCATTTCTATAGCTCCAATTCACATCGTGTCATCTCAGGTCACTTTCCAGTTCAACCAGATCATCCAGTCAGATTGATTCAAAGTTTTCTATCTAAGGAAAACCAGCTGATTGCATCGACTCATTGACTCTTCAGCAATCCCTCACACTAAGCATGCTTGTAGCGACAGTGGAGAGGAAAAACTCCCTTTGAACAGGAAGAAACCTCCAGCAGAACCAGGCTCAGTGTGAGCGGCCATCTGCTGAGGCCCAGTGGGGTTCAAGGAGACAGAAGCAGACATAGAAAAAGAAGCATAGATACAAAAGGCAACTGTCAACCAGCTCCACAGGCGGCCCCGTCCAGGAAACACACAGCCAGGCAGACGAGCTCCGAGCCAGCTCCCATGTCAGAGGATGAAGAGAGCACATCCAGTTAGTCACAGTCAGAGAAACAGGACTACACTGGAAAACAGGCCAAGCTCCAACATCTAGAAACAAAGGTGTTGATGGCAGCAGCACAGCTGATATTTCTCTCCAGGATGGAGTCACAGCCAAACAGGAACAGACCAGATGAAGCTACTATGAGAAAAAGCAGAGAGAGCAGAACGTTAGAGATTGAACTAACAGTGGGAGAATAGAGAGAGAATGAAGCAGAATGATGAAAAAGGGGTCCCTATGTCCTCCAGCAGTCTAAGCCTATAGCAGCAGAACTATAGAGATAGCTCAGGATAACCTGAGCCACTCTAACTAGAAGCTTTATCAAAAAGGAAAGTTTTAAGCCTAGCCTTAAAAGTAGACAGAGTGTCTGCCTCACGGACTAAAACTGGTAGTTGGTTCCACAGTAGAGGAGCCTGAGAACTAAAAGATCTGCCTCCCATTCTACTTTTAGAAATTCTAGGAACCACTAGTAAACCTGCAGATTGAGAGCGAAGTGCTCTGTTAGGAACATAAGGAACAATCAGATCTCTGATATCAGATGCATTTTTTTGTTTTTTTTTTGTTGAAAAACATATTTTCCTTTTTCTTGTTTCTTTTGCTTTCAGAAAGCAATATTTTCTATAATTTCAAATAGACTTTTTTATAAAAGAAAAACAATCTATACTGAAATTTCTACTTCTTCTTGAATAACTTCTGCCCTCAGGAGGTTCAAAGCAGCCTAACAAGGCTTTCTTATGACACATCCTCAAACTAAAAAAAAAAAAAAAAAGAAACTAACACATTTTGGGTTTCCTTTCATCCCTTTCTGGTCCCCTGCCGATTTTCCCTGCTTTTCTTTTACTGACCCATCCCAAATCTGATGCTGGTTTAGTTTGCTTCAAGATTACTTGTGAATTGATTTTTAAAGGACCCATGTTTTCTACTCTCTCAGGCATCCTGGAGTTCTCTCCTGTCCTTCTTCGATACCTTATGTCAGGTATGGGTAATAGTTGTATGTAGTTAGATACTGTAGCGTAGTATCCCTTATTTACCATGTAGTAAACAACCCTCCTTTTGTTATCCCTGGTGATAAGTGGGAGGAACAGACAACAAAGAAGCAAAGAAAATGAGAAATTGCAATATTCCCTCATGCCTTGAAATGCTTGGACGCCTTTGCACTGTAGCTATTTGAAAGCTTGGCAAGCTGTGGCGTATTAACTGCTTCCACCTGTGGAGCTATTCACTCATCTTTGCTCTCTAGTCTAGTCCATCTGCTTGTCTGAGTAGAAGTAAAGGGCCTTTCACCAATTCCCTGGCTAAGTTTGCTTACAGCTCCCACTTTTACCACAACACAGAGATTTGAGTGAAGGGGGAGCCGTGATGATGAAGATATTCACTTCTTTGGATTCCTCTCCATTGCTGATTGCGTCCGTACACCTGATGAGTCGCCGTTAACCGAGTTGCACAGCTGCGTGATCCCCGGTGTACGGAATCATGCCGCGCGCCTCCACTGTGGCAACCTCTCTTCATTGGCCTCTTCCTTTGCTTTCCCTAACAAACTGCTAATGAAGTCAATCACAACTGCTTTTCCCATGATCCTTTTACCCCGACAGCTGATGGTGTGCGATTGCATCCACAATACTCTTTTAATTAGTATGGAGAATAAATTGGTTGAGCATGCCTTTTTTCTTAATTGCTTTTTCCTCAGCTTGGATTTAATTGGGCTCCAGTGCTGTTTATTGATCTTCTTTGATGTGCTTTAATTTGGATAATTTTATATATTTATTTTGGATGTGACAAGCCGGAGGGGGGGGGGGAGTGCTGGGCTCCGGGAACAGCACTGCAGCGGACTGCGGTAGCCTTAGTGAGCCTGGGGTCCAGCATGTGATGGCAACTAGGTGGGGAGATGATCAAACCCTGAAGGAAACTAAAGCAGCTCCACTACCGTCTAAGAGGACTCAAGTGAACAGCTCTTTGATCTCACATCAACAGCTCATAAAAGCCGGAGTGGATCAGTAAAGCAAGGAAGCAGGTTTTCAAAGCCAGCCATAGCAGGCCTGCAGGCCAATACACATTTCTTCCAGCAGCTAGCGAGAATTTTGTGCCTGATTCATGCTGCGTCATCTCTCCCCCTCCTGCCTGTAACAACAAAGCCCAATTTTCATCCTCCGCCTCCATGGTTTCATAATTAGTGTGCTTCTCTGCGTGTGATTGTGGGTTTGTTTTGTAGATACATGCGTGCATTTGCTTTTATGAATTCCTGTTTGAGCTGTAATTCTACAACATTTATTAGCATCACTCTTTGTAAACCATTTTCCTAACTCAAATATCCCCCCCCCCCCCCCCCCTTCTCACAGGGGGGAACTTCACCCTGGCTGAGCTGGGAGTTTGCGAACAAACTCCCCCTCCACATCCCGCTGCTGTTCCCTACTGTCCAGACCTGGGCCTCCTCCAGAGGGGGTACTCCCTCAGTGCCGGCTCAGACGCCGACTCGGACCCAGAGGGGCCCCTCTCTCCGGAGCGAGCCATTCAGCTGTGGGCCGGACGTGCAGGTGTGAAATCTCGCCGCAGCTCAGGCGTGTCCAGCCGTGAGAACTCGGCTCTTACCCTCACCGACTCCGAGAATGACAACAAGTCTGATGACGAGTCAGGTAGGGGAAAGTAACGAGTCAAAGCGCTGCTGAGTGGATCAATGTTCAGTGTTTTAAACAGATTAAAAGTATGGCTTGTCCAAGCAATAAGTTTGTTTTCAGATCAATACAGAAAACCAATATATTGATCGTTTTACTGTTTCATTGATCTAAAGATTTGTTGAACTTTCCTTTGTTGGATCAATTGCAAACACAAATTACTCTGACTGCACCTTTTTAAATCAGCAGATATCTGTCTCTCTTCTGGATACTGAAACAGAAGAGCATCACAGACCCAAATGTCTTTTTGGTGATTTCACAAAATGTTTGCACTCACAGAGCTTGTGTGCTGTTAGTCAATTTCAATGCCTATTGTTTCATCTGGTGATGGCAAACAATGCAGGATGTCAAACACTCCTTTTTTCATCTTTGTCCTTGGATTCCTGTTTTTAGCAGGATCAGCCTTGCTAAAGTATCTATGCTTATTCTGATCTTTCACAATTTTTGTTTTAAAACAACAAACTTATATGATTTTAATTTACCATGTAGACCCGACAAAAATTAATTGAAAAATTGGTTTTCTATTTATTCTGACGTTATTGTTTAATGTGAAACGTTCATTAAACCTTTGGCTGACTGTCAGGTTTGTCAGCATCCTGAAGTGACCCAAATACAATTTTTTTTTACCCATATGCGACCTGGAACCCATTTTTTTTCCAATGTGATCCGGGCCACTTGGCTCTGTGGTTCTGAATCCGCTACGAATCTGATCTTTTTAAATGTGACCTGCGTCTGGACGGCCAGATGGCATTCATCCAACCTGAACGTCATAAAAGCCCAACAAAGGTCAATATTCTGCGTCTTGCTATGCAGAAGCGGGGGAAAAAACAACAACCATGGAGGACAATGATGCAGAGAGCAGTTTTTATTTTAATTGTCTTGAAAAGATTGAGTTTTTAAGGTTGGGAAAGATCGCTAGATGCACTCCAGCATCACCGGACGTCATTCAGTTGTTGGTTTTTTGGCGAAATCTGCTCTGTCCATCTTAGTCTGGATTTAATCCAGAAACGGTGGCTGAAAATTTGGCTGTGATGGGTCCATCTGATTTTGTCCCACTTTAGTCCAATAATATACTTTACAAACAATGTCTTTCCAACGATCTTAAAATTTCAGCTTTTCCTCCTTTCACTTTTTAACCAAATGCAGATGTCTTTTTGACGTAAATCATGTCGTCTTTTTAACCGTTGTTTGCTCGGTTGGCCTATTATCTGCATTTTGTTGCATCCCATCCAGGCCTGGTGGCAACTTACACATTTCCTTAGTTTCTTACAGCAAGGACAAAAGGCAAGATTTGTTGAGTGAACACTTAAAAATGTGACTATCAACAGATTCCCTTATGAAGTCTCCATCCCCTCCAAACCCACCGTCAGCCTCTCGCTGCTTTGCTTGCTTTGCTTTGGTTAGTTTTTTTTTCTTTGCTTTTCAGTTTACAGCAGCTGGAGTGCCGAATTTTTTTGAGGGCTTTAGTTTTCATACTATTTTCAGATACAGTAGCAGCCATCAAAATGGCCGTTCGCAGTCAAACGCCAGCTGAACGGCAGCCTACTTCTCTCCCTTTCCCAGCAGAATCCCCTCCAACTTCCAGCCACTGGAGTGACCCCTTCCTTCTCCTGGGCGTTCAGGTTCTGAGCAGGAAATGACGCTTCTCTTTAGATCCTAATGTCCACAAATCATGACAGAAAGATATTTAAGCACAAATATTAATGTTTAAAAAGTAATTGTAAGGGGACTAGCTAAGGACCAGCTAAGGAAAGTGGAGACATTTTGAACGGCTGCTACTGTAGTTCAGTATCACAAACTTTTGACTCTGCACCCAGCTTCTCCTTACATTTCATCTCTAACATATCTGAACCGTTCTTCTCTATGTAGCATATATTACTTTTACAAATATTAGCATGATTGAATAAATAAACAAATTCAATCAGAAAGAATTCTTAAGTTTGACTGCTGGAGGAAGTGTGTGCAAACACACTGACAGACAACAGAATGGTGGAAATTAGTGATATTTACAATATTTAAAGACAGATCTCTCACGACAGTTCATGAAATCAGAGGTGTTTTTCTTTACCCAAGGAATTCAACCAGTTCCTAGTTGAGATGAAGTTAACCGAAGGTGCTGTTTCCTTTGGTGCATTATATGGGTCTTGCTCGCCAGTCTGACCCACCAGATATTCAGAGTCCTGGAGACGGATTCTGGAATGGGATCCTAGAACGGGATCCTGGAACAAAATCCTAAAATGGAAACCTGGCCAGTTGTCAAACCTTGTGATACAATGAAGGTTTTAATCCACGACGGTGCTTCTGCATCAGCGTCAGACAGCGTCTCCTGCCACTCATTAGCCATAGAAGCCGCAGCTGTCAATTTAGATTAGATGAGCTTTATTGATCTCACAGCGGAGAAATTCACTGGTCATATATTGGCATAATAATTAAAAAAGGTGCAAACAAGGAGGAAAAAGGTGCATTAAGAATAAACAATATATATACAGTATATCAAGATAAATACGATAATAATTTAGAATGCTGACGTGCAGCTGGTCATGTGACCATACAACCATGCAAGAACAGATTGAACTCATTTGGCTTTTTCTTTTTGTGGCAAAGAAATTAAAGAGAAGATTATTTTATTTTTAAATAAATCTTTAAATAAAGGAGCTCAGAGATCTTCATTAAAATCCCTCCTACACACCTGGACATTATTTCCTATTACATCTGAATGCACAAGATTTTAACGAGAGCTATCAGAGGAAGGGAGACTGAACACAAATGCATGCTGAACTTTTCTTTCCTTTAATAGTAATTACACTCCTTCAACTTCCACATCACGTTTATGCTAATTTATAATGGGAACCTATAATCCTTATAAATTAGCTTGAGATTTTGGGGTTGTAACAAACAAAATATGGACAGGTTGTGAAAGTATATTCACTTTTGCACAGCTCTATACATCTATAGTCATGCATTACCGGCTGATACAGTGCTGAAAGGCTTTTTTCTCTAAACACAGATATGAACTACTGCAGATGTAAACTGAAAGTGTGAGGTATCCTGGGAAATCTCCTTCCTCTGGCAACTTTGTTTATTGCCAACTTCCCACTTCCTCGTTAATCCCGGCGCAGTCGTAAACCTGTGCACCAGCTCCACCGAAGTGTCAATGGAGGTTAATGAAAAGTGGATGAAAGGAAGAGCAACAGTCTAATTAATTGACTTCTCTGCTGGCGCACGCTTCAGCATCGGATCCACCTCCGCTGGATGGCAGGCCTCAGAAACAACTTCTGTTGACTGATCAAACTACTCAACACCTATTAAACACGTCGAGAAACACCTTCCCTGAGACGCAACTCTCATCCAACCAACCGATAATTGCTTTGTGGTTAATTACCAATCTAATCTGGTAGCCGCAGATATCAGCTGCAGACGGCGCTCTCGCTTTCTTTGTCTCAGGGCCACGAGAACGCCGCTCTGTCTCCGACATTTGCAGACCTTGTAAAATTAGCTGCTTAATCCAGCTTTGCATTGTGATAATGGTTTGCCTGCAGAATGATGTCACAGAGTAAAGATCAAAAGAATTTTTTTTTTCATCATTTGGTTGCAATAAATAAACAATGTGAAATGGGGTTATTTATGGTGGATTTTGAGAACAGAATGTGAGCTTTCTGTGTGGAGTTTTTTTATCCAGAAACATAACCGATGGCCTCATCTGGTAGTGTGCTGTTCCTGCCTGGCATGTCTCTGAGTTTATATTCTAATGAATTAGCAACGTTTTCACATTCTGCCCTTTCCTCTGGTTTCTTTCCTTCCAAGATAGTAAAACCTCTCATGCCACCTACTGATTCACATCCCACCAACAACTTAAGCAGGATTATATTTACTTTTTAGGCACTTTTTGTTATCAGGGTTTTACATTATTCCAAAGCAGCAATCATTTTCTGTTATCCCATTCCTGTGGTTTGTTAATGCCAGAGAAAGTAAGACAGGAAGTGGAGTTTATTCTGGCTGTGCAGAGCCAACACTTTAGGAATAATAAGCACTTCAAAATGAAAAGAGCCTTAATGTTTCAAAAATGTTAGAGCCATACGGGTATCAGTGTTGGGCATGTTACTTTTAAAAAGTAATTAGTTATAGTTACTAGTTACTTCTCCCAAAAAATAACTGAGTTTGGAACTGAGTTACTCCACAATAAAAGTAACTAGTTACTAGTAAAAGTAATTATTGTGTTACTTTTGCGTTGCTATTGCGTAACTATTAACTATTGCGTTTCTTAAAGACAGGAACCTGCAGAGAGTTTTGCATTAATTGCAACTCAAGGTAAATGACATCGGGGGGGGTCTATAAACCCCGTCAGACAGCGTTTCCCTCTTCTTAACATGGGGAAACGGTATCTGATGCGGTGTAAATATCAGGCTCCATCCATCCTTCATGCTCTCCGTAGTTCCCCTGTGGCGCGAGCACAGGGCGGCTGTTGCGCGCCTTTAGCGAGCATGCGCGTTTCCTGTCGCTTGCGCGGTGAATCGTGCCGTCTGCGCTGTGCGGAGATGCAGAGGAAACCGTATCTGATGGGGAAACGCAGCTCGACGTGACACCGGTATTTCCATCTGGAAAGCGCTGTTTTGCTGCTGGAGTCCTCCTCACTCTCCATCCTCCCCTCTCTCATGACGCGCTTACGAGTCCTATAATGAAAGAATGTTCATTGTGCGACCTGAGTAACGTGCAGTAACGGGGTGTCGGCAATGGAAACTGCGTCATAGTTACAGTAAGAGTAATAATTTTGATTACTCGTTACTAAAAAAAGGTAACGGCGTTAGTAACGCCATTACTTTCAACTCCGTTACTCCCATCACTGACGTCTATTAACTCTGTTTTAAACTGCAGTTAAAAATCCACTAGATAAAGGTTCTTCTGGGTCAATTTCAATTCTATTCAGTTTATTTCTATAGCTCCAATTCACATCATGTCATCTC